AAGTACTTTTTAAAATAAGTACTTCTTTAAAAAAGTGACTTCAAGTTTTTTTTTTAAGTACTTCTTAAGAAGTACTTATCAAAAAAAATGGGATGAACCAATCCCTAATAATTTTTTGTAATGCCTAAAATACCTTCGCGAGGGTTATACCTCCTCCTTCTCCATTCATTCGAACATCAAACCCAGGTAGTGGCACACCAGTTGTAGGTCCATCGATGACGATTAGCGGTGAGGAAAAGTGGCCGGCGGACCTGTCATTTGGTCACTTTCTTCTATTTTTTTGAAGTTATTTTTTTCTCAATTTAATCATTTATTTTTGTTTTTTTCCTAACTTGAACTCCTTGTTCTTCGCAAATCTACACTTGAACTCCCCTGTTCGAGTTTCAAAATAAAAGTTGTCGCTGTTGGTATGGTTGACGAAGGCGACATGCTAAGAAGATGTGGTGCATTGATTCCACTGGTGGGTGTGAAGATGAAGACCATGCCGTGGCCAGAGAAGATTCATAATAAGTCAGATCTCTATACTGAGAGACCTACATTAATGCTTTTGGCCTTTTGGGTTACAAGACGCCCTTTTTATGGATGGGTTTCTCTTCGAAGGGTGAATCCATTAATTTTCTTGACTCAGATTGCCGGTTCAAAGGGAAAATCATTCCCTTCCCAAGGTCCTCCAAATGTCAAATTTTCATCTCTCCCCTCATCTCTGACCCACCCATCCACCCTAGAGAATCAAGAAAATCGGTAGAAATGGCGAGTTTTGGCGGTCGAAATTCCCCAGTCACCGAAGAAACTCCATCTGCATCAAATCATTTACCTTTTTTGCCTGCACTTCAAAGCGTCAGCAAGCTATGGTTCTCTTTGTGCGATAGGAGATGGGGCTTCACTACCAATATTAGAAAATGGGGAAATGGATAGGGACAACAATGGGTTTCTATATTTCGATGAAGCCATTGTCTTCTTCTTTTACATCTCAACAGCAAGATCAGTAATCTGTGGTGGGTGTGGAATATTGGTAAAGGAAATTTACTTTACATGCATTGAATGCTTATGCGACAAAAGTCTAGATGGCTATAATTTTTGTTGCGACTGTTACGCTTTTGGGAGAGGCCGTCGTGGAAGCCACAAAAAAATTTATCAATAACTTTGCGACACTACAACTCTTGAGAAATAAAATAGAAAAGAAAAACTCTATCGAGGTAAGCCCAAAATACTTTAGCCTATTTATGTTTTGGTTTGTTATTTAATGTTTGGTCTTTGTAATGCTTTCATGTTTGCTTCACTTTCCTTGTAGTTGCAGAGCAATACGCTCGGAAAAAGGGTAATTGTAGTTGCTGCAAAATCGGTTGTCCGTCATGTTGTAATTCATATTACAATTCATGGTTATGAGTTTGAGCACTGGGAGTTGGACCTTGTAAGATATCAGTTGGAAGCAACGGAATCCTCCCAGGCATGAAGTTAGAGGCAAACTAGATGCTAAGATATCAAACAAGCAAGTTGGGGATAAAGCTAGAAGACAACGAAAGAAGGAGAGGGAATCAAGAGAGACTCAGGAGGTGGAAATGGGAATATGAGAACTTTGTGAAGGTTGTTAACCGGAGGAGTCTTTTTGTTGTCCAATCTATAGTTCAAGCGGTTCCGACAGTTCCAGTGAAGAAAATGATAGGGAGAGGGAGAGATATGAGTAATCTATAGTTGAGGGTAAAATTGTTATTTGTGTCAATATAAGCACTTATGGGGAAGTAGCTTACCAAACATCCCCACTCCAATAAGTGCTTAAAAACATAATAAGTGATTTGAAAAGTGGGTTACCAAACAACCTTAAGTGGTTGTTAAAATAAGTACTTCTTAGAAGGCTTAAGGTTTTAACAAACAACATGAATTGCAACAAGTACTTAATCATCAAACAGGGCCTTAAAGGTCTAAGGTTTAGGGTTTAGAAAACTGGGATTTATATCTAAATATCATGAGGTGGAATGCAACACCATCAGAGAGATCAAATCATTGTGTGTGGCTTGTTCTCACACATGGAGAGAGGGTAACCATTAAGTGGATTGGTTAAGCATGGCTAGGTTTCTTAGGCTCGCATGAGTTCTCTGTCGAATTCCCTTGGGAATTAATTTTATTTTTTTAATGGATAGTTGGGGTAGAATTTTTATCCAATACGTTTTATTTCTCTCTCTCTCTCTCTCTCTCTATATATATACATATATATATATATATATGTGTGTGTGTGTGTCACACACATGCCCTCCAACATAGTAGGGGCAAAATATCGCCCTCCTCTGAAACAAATAACCTTCTTTTGAAATCCATCATATCTCATAAGAATGGAGACTGCTTCATTTTACTTCTCACAAACAAAACCAGTTTTAGAGGAAAAGAAAACCATAATTTGCACTTGACATATTTGTATTCCCCTATATTTATACTAGTGCAAATGAATTTCACACTACAAACAAATAGATCTTTAATGATAAAATTAACCTTCATATGATAAAAATACCCTTAGTTTATTTGTTACCTATATGATGGTGCATCTTATAAATAAGAAGAATACAATGTGCTATTGGATTGATATGAAACTAGGAAGTTGAGAACAATCTAAAGTTTTTGGATAGTTATTATATATATATATATATTATGTAAATAGGACATTCTCCCTTGAATCTTTTATTCCCTCTCTTGGTCTCTAAATCTCTCTCATATACAACAAGTTTTCCTTTATTCTCTCATATTATAGATATTGTCGCATGAACTGCGAAAGGCCTGATCCCTCCCATTAGGGTATATAGCACAACCCCTTTCACGTGATTTGTCTTTCTCACTACTCCATTAACAAGTCCATTCCACCACGGTTTCTCAAACATTCGGAGGTTAAATCACCATTTACATTTATTTTTCTTCATGGGGCTATACAACAGGGGGTAGCCCAACTTCATCCATTAACCCCTAACCCTAGTGACAAAGGGATTTGATCCTAGGTCTCTACTCTGGCGGAACCAAAGATCCCACCAACTAGGCCACCATCAGTTGGCCTTAAAGGATGTATTTAAAAGTCAAGGTAGGCTTATAAAAGGGGTACCAAAGAATATAAGCCACACAACAAGAACAAAATATGGGACCTACTAAAAGCAAAAACTCTACACACTCTAAAAAGCATGAGCATTCAACCACACATTGGAAACATTTCCTCGCGAATTCAACATGCAAATAGTGTAGCGGAGATATGCTTGGCGTATAGCTGGAGTTTGGAGAATTTGGATTAGGTGAATGCGATGGCTGTTTAGTGGGCCGTGGAACGAATGATAATGTCCATGCCATTAGTAAATACATGGGTCCCATTGTGAAAGGTACGGGTCCCATGAATTTTATTACTGGCGTGGAATATTATCAGTGGTTCCACAGCCCATTGAACAACTAGCGCCTTCAACTATTCTTTGTTCATAGCTAGGTGCCATGTGCACATAGTTTTTGCTTTTTAGGCTTCATTTGTTTATTGGTAAATAAGAGGGGGAAAGTTGGTCATTGGGTATCTCTTTCCCTTTGACCACTTTTATTTTATTAATATTAATATTATTATATTATATTTTATTATTATTATTTTTTTGCATTAAGTATTGGGTCCACGGTAAAGAGAGCTTCATTTACCCAAGTAAAACCTTCCCAAAGTGTGTAAGTAGCTTTCCCACCTGGAGGAAAAAGTTTATAAAACATGATGGGACAAGCTTACTCTTTTTATAAGTGGAAAGGTCATTATATTACTTACCCATGAATCAAAAGAACATGATTACATAAACTTATTTGGATAAATTTTACCTATAAACCTTTACTTGAGTAAATGTACTTACCCGAATAAGTGAAAAATCTAATATATATAAATGAAGGTTTTCAGGCTACAACCCCACCATTTAGACATTTGGCTTTTTCAAAATTAGACACATGGCATTTTCCGGGAAGTTGCTGTTAAAGCCCACAACCCACTATCACCATTCATAGGCCTTCTCATTTTCTAGAAAGCTAGATACATGGCAATTTATGAGAAATTCCTATTAAAACCCATAACCCATTACCAAGCTACAGCCCCCCACCATTCAGACACATGGCCTTCTCATTTTTTTGGAAAGCTAGACACATGACATTTTCTGAGAAGTTGCTGCTAAAACCCACAACCCACTATCACCATTTTTAATCAATTCCTAAAAAATACAAAAGTGGTTATCCACAACCACTTCTTACTACATTCTATCAATCTCAATTAATCATTAACCCTCTACCTATCATAACAAAAGAAAACTATCCATATTATAATAATTATTGAAAAACTATTTTTATAAAATAAATATTTCTTAAAAATTTAATAATTATTTAAAATATTAATAAATATAAGTTTAATATTATTAATTCCATAATATAAATTTAACATTACTGTCCTAGTGCTTAATACGGGGTCATTCACTAGTTTATAAACAAATGGGGCCTTAAGAGAATTATTCTCTAATTAATTTGCATTAGACTCCTTGCTATGAGCCTATTAATAGGCTTTTATTGGCAAGTGTCTAGATCTTCTATCAATAAGGTGCTACCAATAAAACTTTTAACGTGATCAATAGTCGCTCATCTCAAATGTGATTGATGTCTCAAAAGTAAGATTCCCTCAATGAATACAAAACATATTTGATACGTGCGACCATACATCATAGTGGTATTCACTGATCACTAATTCACTATATGGTCCACATCGCCAAACTGCACCCAACCAAGTTAAAATGGTCGGTTTGGTCTCATCTAATCTTAAAAATGGTCCGGTTGTGGCTGATAAATTCTCAAACCATAATTTTTTGGTTTGGTCCGGTTTAATGAATTTCACAAATAAACGAAAGTGTAAACCGCTCCGTGGGGAACCCACCCGGACTCGTAGACCGGAGATCCGTGCTCCATGTCACCATGTGCAATGATGCCAAACACAGAGAAAAAGCCTGTGCACAGAAAAACTCTTCCATAGGAGAGTATAGAATAAAAAAATCTACAGCCACCACCATTCCTGCACCATCTTCCATATCTTAAATCGCCTGTTTTCATCAAATTCATATGGCGTAGTTTAGGGAACCAATTCCTTAAAACCGCTAACCTGAGCACCTGTGCGTATTTTCAGTATCACCATGGTAGGACTAAAAGTGACCATGGTGCCTTCAATCTGCGGCTGGAGGCCCTATATGGCCGAAAAATGGGTGCAAAGGATGAGCAATAGCAGGACTAGGGCTGCCGCTGCAGCTGCCGCTATCGACGTCAAATTGAATGTGGTGGCCGCTAGAACGAAGCCTTCGGTGGACCTGCCTGGTAAGAACCGAGAGCAAATATCGGTTGGATGGAGAGACGGGTGGAGGTTAATATCCTGCGCAAAATTCGGGGCTGCACCCGAGAGGGCTTCGTGTAGAAAATTGGGGTCTCGTGGTCAAAAGGTTTTTTCTTCCTCTGCTTCTTCTGAATCCAAAGGAGGTCCTGTGGCCACCGGCATGGGCTATGAGAATGAGGTGGACCGGGACGATAATAACCGGTTGCCACCGCCGTCGCAGAACCACCCCATTTTTCACCAAAAAAAGTTACAACCTCCAGCGTTGCTTACATTGCCTACGATCCTGACGTTAGGTCGTGTCGCGGCGGTGCCACTTCTCGTTAGCAGTATGTATTCCATTACATTTCTTTAAGATCTGTTTTGTTATTTTCTTGACCTTATCGAGGCTATGTGAATTTATTGACTTCATTTTTTTATATGACTAGAGAAGTTTGATTTAAGGATTCTTAATGATATAATGCTGAAAGAGGAAATCTTTGGCCCGTTGATATTGAATAATGGAATTGCTTGGATTAATCTCAGGACAGAATTTCAACCTTGTTGACTCTATTGAATACTCTGGTCTTAGAAATTAGAATTCAATTTCCTTTCTGGTGGTTGAAGAGGGGGAATGGTGTCAGATTTCTCCCAGCCGCCCAAGGGACTTCGGAGTCATATATAAATGCTGCTGATCATAAAAGAAGGGGAGATTTTAATAATGTCTGTTAGATTTACATGCGGTAGTTAATGAAGTTGATTGTTATTGTCGTCGGAGTAGGAATGATTTAACTTCTAAATAATTTAGGACGTTAGGTGAGTGTATTTTTTAATCTAATGGGTCATGATCTTGAAGTTGAGTGAGGAGCCCGGGGTAGCCTGACCTCCAGAAACTTGATCTAGTTAGTTGTCACTTGTCAATCAGGAGTTACAGAACTTAAGGAAGTGACATTGCAAGCTTATGGCTACCCCCGTGCCCAATCCTTGATCCAAAGATTCCAAACCAGCAATGAAATCAACTATCGACCCTGAACATTATCCTGCTAAGTTTAATGTTTATCTTATCTGCATTTGTTGATAAGTTGGTTGATTTCTGCATACCTGGTCTGGTTATTGAAAGCTAGTTCCTGCATGTAAACTATATTTAGTAGGGGATTAACCTTTCTACTTTTGGTTTATTGAAAATCCTTGCTGATTTGTTGTTGATTTGCTTATACAATCTTGATCCTAATATTATGCAAAACTTCATATTTTTCCTAATGAAATCATCATTATCTGTTAGGAACCTGCCTAACTCAGGGCTCTTCGAGGGGCCAACCTCCTGAATTCTTAGAAAAAGAGAGAGAGAGAGAGAGAGTTTAATGCTGAAAGAATCAATGTCTCATTCCTTTTCTGCTCTACTACTTATACAGTTTTACAATCTTGATTGTCTTTCTGTTACAGTTGTTGCAAGTTGATGGTTAGTTGTGCTGACGTGGCCTCCTCTTGTAAAATTGATTAACAGATTTCTGTTGGTCTGTTCCAGCAGTCTTAACATTATCACCATCATCTAAGCCTTGTTCCAACTGTATGGGGATTGATTACATGAATGCTGTTCTGTAATTCTGTACTGTTCAGTACCATATCCATTGTTAAATTGTGGGCCCTTAGATCATTTTCTCACTACCTCAACCGATGTTCTTTTTGGCATGCCCCTACTCCCTAGCTCTTCTAGACCATTCAACTTGTAATAGATTGCTTCTTACTGGTGCTGTAGATGGTCTTCTTGGTACATGCCCAAACCATCATAGTGTATTTTCAGTCATTTTATCTCCTATTGAAGCTATTCCATTGTTCTTTCAAATAAGTTAATTTCTTATCGCATCCTTTTTTGTTTTCCCACTCATCCATCTTAACTTTCACAGTTCTACCAATCTTTGAACGTGTTTCTTGATTTTAATGAATTTATTTTTTCTATATAAAAAATTAGATTTCTTCTTTTAGGGGGCAACAGGTATGCTAGAAAGATGATTTTTGGAATTGGAAGAAAAGGACAGGATTATAGATTCTGAAAATACAACGATAGAATAAAACAAGTATGTGGGATTCTAAAAAAACAAGTATGTGAGTGTTAGTGATCTAGACATGACAAAGTTTAGATATCTATGAGGGGGTGGGGATCTTTGTTTATTGAGGTGTGGAGTAATTTATTGGGTTTGAAGTGAGGGTGGAAATATTATGGATGCTTAAGGTAAGCTAAGAAGATCAAGAAGGTAAGTTGCAAAGGATGTTCTGAAGTGGTGTTTAATTATCTCGTTGAAGTTGTGATTATTGATTGTGGAGTGTGATCTCTATTCATGCTGTTTTGTAAAGTGTTGCATGTAGGGATGAGCTTCTAGGGGTATTGTGTGGATGAGGTGATTGTTTTTATTTTTTATTTTTGGGCTTTCTTTCTCTTGGTTATATCTTGTCACTTGTTTCTTGTATCACCCCTTTTTTATTTTAGTGAGAATTTTCTTTTATTATTGAAAAATATGATGTAGCTGACTTGATAATTTTGTTTGCTAGCATTTTACATGAATAATTGGTGGGGGACAACAGCTACAACAAGTATTTTCATTGCTGCAGCAGTTACAGATTGGCTTGATGGGTACATTGCTCGAAAGGTATGCTACTTCTTCATTTCTCTTACAAGGTGTATATTGGAGGATGATATCTTTTCTGGCTAACCATTTTATTACATTTTATTCTGTTGAGCTAATTCTTATTTGGTGTACCAGATGCGATTAGGCACAACATTTGGTGCATTTTTGGATCCCGTAGCTGATAAGGTTTCATTTTTATTCCATAAACTTTGTCTTGTTTCCTCCTTGAGCTAATTGAGTCTTAGGGTATAGATTTTGGGTGGAAAAAAGGGGAAAAAAACTCCTTTCATGGGTGTTTAGCAGTTCTTGTCTCTGATTCTTATGCTCTTGGATACAGCTTATGGTTGCTGCAACATTGGTCTTATTGTGTACCAGACCTTCGGAAGCTGCTATATTTGGAGATGTGCCATGGCTATTGACGGTGCCTTCAATTGTTATAATTGGTAGAGAGGTAATTGCCCTGATCATTATACTATTTGTATTGAAACTATCCAGGTTGTTGTGATTGTGTAATGGTGTACACTGCGAGATGCATTTTTTCTGTAATTCTGATTTATCAGTTCTTTTTCTTTTGCTATTCCTGTAGATGTTAAAAGTAGTAAGAGCACTGCTTTGTCATCTTCATAGGTAAAAATAGGAAAAAACAAATAGGACCAATTCCTCCATTAAGAAGTATATAATATATTAAGATTGCAAGATAAACGTTTCTTTGAATGCCTTTATTTTCTTTATCTTTGTTCTTGTTGAAACTTTTTGAGTAAGGTGGTGGTTAACTTGCTTGTTTGTGAAGAATTTATGTGACTGGTGTTCGCAAGGATTAAGAAAGAGGAGGTAAGTCTTATAGCAATGTTTCCTCTTTGCTCTTTCCTGGATCATATGAGGCAAAGAAATACTAGAACTTTTGAAAATTGATGCTTACATTCATCCCTTTGGAATGTCATTGACATGATAGATTCATGGATGGCAACCAGAAAGGAATTCGGAGAAGTTTCCTTTCTAAACTTTTTGTTTAGCATTTTCCTCAGAGCTTTTTGAGACCCTATGTATATCATCTATTTATACATGGTCTATACTTGCACATGGTATTTTCTTTCTGATTTGATACTTAGCTTTTCAAAAAAGAATAAAAACGTAAATGGGTTTTATTAATGCAGGCCAAAGAGAAATATAATTCTTAGATCCCTAAGGAACAAGGGGAGAGATCTGAAAAGAACTCTATACAAGGCGAATCAGAAAATTAAGATAAATAAAACTGTTATCAGTTGGAAATCTGACTAGTAGTTAACCCATCCTTTAACCTCTTGATTAGAAAGACTATAAGTAAATGATTTAGCTGATCTTGGTATCAATCTAAACATGATTTTCTCTCAACATCTCTACATACTTCATGCACATTGATATTGGCATTCTATGATAGAAGATATGGCGTATTTTCGTCTTGTTTGTATAATGAATATTCTACTCAAGGAGGTCATGTGGTGTAAGTTGTTTGCTGATGATATTTAGTCTTGTACTCTTGTTTCATAAAACCAGAGAGGGGGCAAATGCAAAGTTTAAGATATAAAGATATGCTTTATGATCAAGTGATTTTAAGATAAGCAGGAGTAAATAACATATACTGTGTAACTTAGCAATAATAATAGAGAAGGGGTAGAAATAAGATTCATGACCGATGATACTCCAAAGCATGCATTTTCACTAGCTTGGTTTGATTGTATTTAGTGGCAGTTTGGGAGGGCTTTGACACAGTGTCTTCTGGCTTTGTGAGGTGGGCTCCACACAGACAGCCTATAAGTTATGTTTGGTGAAAAATCTGGGAAGCCCAATTATGCTGTCATTCAGCTAGAAAATTGGAATTATGGTTAAGCTTCTTCAAATTGGCTCCGTGAAAGCAGCTCAATCAAGGCTTAGGCCCTCCCAAATGGGGCTCTTAGGGCTCTTGACAGTATCTATTCAAGACAGGATAAGAGATAGAAAATGGGGTAAATCCTATTAATTTCTCATCATGTATGGTGTTGGTTGTTTGGTTGGCTTGGGTGTAGAGATGGAGGGTTTTTTATTGGGGGGTTGTGGTTTGATCTCCTGCTCATTAAGGGGTTGTTCAGGGTGGTAGTTTGGCTGTCTGTGGCTTCAAAGTTTTCTCTGGGATGTGAGTACAGGGTCATTCTTCAGGTGAGGCACACACCATGAAATGAACCTTGCCTGTAAGCGTAAGTTCACCTGAGACATGCCTTTTAAAACATTGAATTATAATAGGGTGGGTGAAGTGGAGAGGTGCTTTTAGAGGCTATTGTACTATAAGAAATAAAACATCGATAAATATTTAGATGAGGATGCTGAGATAAATGAGTTGCAAGGCTCGGATGCCTAGAATTGAAAATTAGTGTGCTAGAGGGAATTTAATGTCAGCTTCAATAGGTGGAAATGGGTTAAAGAAGTGAGAAATACTTGAAGGTCTATGAAATGACAGAAGATATAGCCCTTGGTAGAGTTAGAGTGAACATGGAACAAGATTCGTGTTCAAAATTTCTGTTTTCCTCAAATTCTTACAAAAGACATAAGCGAGCTTAATAGCTGATGTAGTTTTAGAAGTTGGAACTACTGATGCTTCTGTTTATTTCCTTAACAAAACATCAAATCTATTGATCCTTGTAGATCTTTTTTTTTTTTTAATTTTATATTAGTGAAAACTTTTCTGATTTGGCTACAGTTGAAAGTGCATCTTTAGTAGATGGCCTTAGGCTCTCTCACAAGCTTGGGTTGGATAGTGATGAAGGAAGATTTGGCCCGACCTCGTGACCACTCAACACGTGGCAGAGGCAACAACTCGGCACGACAGTACGCCCAAGGCGCGAGCTCCGAAAGGAGGAACCAGCGGTCCGAGCTCCCCAAAAGGAGCCCGAACTCTCCCTTTGACCCCGAGCCGCACTTCAACGGCCACCTGCCACCACCACC